AAGCAAGGTGAATTATGTCCAATAACGTGTCACCACACAAGCCCCCCCAGAATTCACACATAAACAAAATCAGCATGGCGGGGAGGAACAACACGCCGACCCCCACGACTCCTGAGCACGGGAGTCGGAAAAGTGACTCCCGCCTGTGCGGCCCCCGGAAGGGGAGGGACCGGAACAACAGGTCTTAAATCCGTGACAGGGGACGAGGCCGGGGGGCGGCCCCGTCGCGGAGGTCGAGCCAGCACCACAGGCTGGTCCAAGTCCAGGTGAGCAGCCTTCACCCGGTCCACCGAGACGTGCTCGGCCTTGCCACCCAGGTCGACCACCAGGTGCTTGTCCCCGTGCTCCAAGACCCGGAAAGGCCCATCATAAGGGGGCTGCAGGGGGCCTCTGTGCGCATCGTGCCGGATGAACACGTGCTCCGCCGAGCGGAGCTCTGCGGGAACCTGGGACACCTGAGTACCGTGCTGAGTAGTAGGGATCGGAACAAAGGCCTCAGCGGCGTCACGCAGGAAAGCCCGCTGGGCCGACGCCGACCAGGGAGCCGATGCATTTGGGAGGAAATCCCCCGGAACTCTCAGCGGCTGACCGTAGACCATCTCCGCTGTAGAACACTGCAGATCTTCCTTGGGTGCGGTCCTCAGGCCCAGCATCACCCAGGGCAGCTTGTCGACCCAGTTACCGTCCGTAAGGCCGGCCTTGAGGGCCGCCTTCATGGAGCGATGAAAGCGCTCGCAGAGACCGTTAGCCTGAGGGTGGTAAGCGGTAGTCCTGTGCAGCTTAACCCCCAAACCGCCTGCCACAGCGTTCCAGAGCTCGGACGTGAACTGAGAGCCCCTGTCTGAGGAAATGTCTGACGGGGTGCCAAAACGACACACCCACGTTGCAATGAAGGCCCGGGCAACGTCTGCGGCTGATGTCGAAACGAGCGGAACCGCCTCCGGCCAACGGGTCGTCCTGTCCACCATGGTGAGGAGGTAGGAAAACCCCTGAGAGGAAGGCAACGGACCAACCAGGTCAATGTTGAAGTGATCAAACCTCCTCTCAGGCACCAGGAAACGCTCCAACGGGGGCCTTCGTGTGGCGGTGCACCTTAGCGCGTTGACAAGCCACGCACTCCCTGGCCCAAGTCCTCACGTCCCTTTTCAGTCCTTGCCAAACGAACTTCGCCGCTACCAAACGGACCGAAGGTTTAAACGCCGGGGTGTGACAGGCCGTGCACAGCCTCGAACACAGGACGCCTCCAGCTGGCAGGGACGACAGGCCGCGCCAGGCCCGTAGAGACGTCACACAGGAGAGTAATGCCCGCGTCGCCGAACACCACGTCCTCCAAGCGCAGCCCCGCGCTCTCCACCTTCAGGGCCTGGACGCCGGGATCTGTGACCTGGTCTGCCGCGATGCGAGTATAGTCCAGGCCCAACTGGACGGCACCGATGACGACCCTGGAGAGGCAATCAGCAACCAGGTTCGACTTGCCAGCCACGTGCTTAATGTCCGTAGTGAACTCCGATATGTAGGACAGCTGCCGCTGCTGACGTGCCGACCAAGGCTCCGCCACTTTTGACATGGCAAAGGTGAGCGGCTTGTGGTCGACAAACGCCGTAAATTCACGGCCTTCCAGCATGAAACGGAAGTGCCGCACGGCCAAATAAAGTCCGAGGAGCTCCCGGTCAAAGGCGCTGTATTTGCGTTCTCTAGGCGTCAGCTGGCGGCTGAAAAAGGCGAGCGGCTGCCAAGCGCCCTCCACCCACTGCTCGTGCACTGCGCCGACCGCGTAGTCTGACGCGTCCGTGGTGATGGAGATGGGAGCCGTAGATGATGGGTGTGCCAGCAAAGCCGCCTGAGCCAACGCGGTCTTGACCTCAGCAAAAGCGCCGTCCGCCTCTGCTGTCCAGTCGATCTCCTGGACGGGGGTCTTGCCTTTCAACGCTTCATACAGCGGCCGCATGATGTGTGCGGCCCGGGCGATGAAACGGTGGTAGAAAGTCACCATCCCCAGAAACTCACGGAGCGACCGGGGCTGTGAGCGGGCGAGGAAACGCCGCAACAGCCTCCACCTTCGCTGGCAGAGGTGTCGCACCGCCCTTGGTGACGCGGTGCCCCAGGAAATCGATGTCCGACACCCCGAACTGGCACTTTGCAGGATTGATGATTAATCCGTGTTCGTTGAGCCGTGTGAAAAGGGCTCGGAGGTGGGACAGGTGCTCCTGCACTGAAGCGCTGGCGACGAGTATGTCGTCGAGGTAAACAAACACAAACGGCAGGTCCCGCAGCAGGTCCATCAGGCGCTGGAACGTCTGAGCGGCATTCTTGAGTCCAAAAGGCATCCGCAGGAACTCAAAAAGTCCAAAAGGCGTTATCACTGCTGTCTTGGGAATGTCCAGGGGGTGCATGGGCACCTGGTGGTATCCACGCACCAGGTCCACCTTGGAAAACACCCCCGTACCGGCCAGATGCGCCGAAAAGTCCTGAATGTGCGGCACCGGATAGCGGTCAGGCGTAGTGGCGTCGTTGAGTCGGCGGTAATCCCCGCACGGGCGGAACCCGCCGTTCGATTTGGGAACGACGTGCAGGGGGGAAGCCCAAGGACTGTCGGAGCGGCGGACAATGCCCAGGCGCTCCATGGTTGCGAACTCCGCCCTCGCTACAGCCAGCTTAGAAGGGTTCAACCGCCGGGCCCTGGCGTAGACAGGAGGCCCTCCGGTAGTGACGTGGTGTTCCACGCCATGCTTAGTGGTAAGCGCAGAGAAGGTGGGTAGCGACAGGTCTGGAAACTCGGCCAACAGTCTGAGAAACGTGTCTGCACCTGACAGCGAGCCTGACAGCCCGTCGTACGCTGCGCTGCCAAGTGTGCACACGAGGGAAGAAAACGTTAAGGCATCAACCAAACGCCTATTCTTAAGGTCCACTAAGAGTCCATGAGCACACAAAAAATCCGCTCCGAGGAGGGGAAAAGAAATGTCCGCTGTCACAAAATCCCAGCTGAAACGCTGTCCTCCGATGCACAAACACATAGGCCTCACGCCGTACGTGCGAATGGGACTGCCGTTAGCCGTCGTCAATCGCGGTCCGTGCCCCCCACGGGCGACGTCTTCACTCGACGCTGGAACTACGCTCCGTTGAGCGCCCGTGTCACACAGAAACAGGCTCCCCGAAACGCTGTCGCTGACGAAGAGGAGCCTGCACGTGCCGCCGACGCTCAGAGCCACTACTGAGCGCCGGCCCCTCCGTTTCCCGGGGGTTTGTAGCTGCACGGAGCGATGCATCTCTTCGCCCTTGTCCCGAAACGTGCGTGGTAAACGCACTCTCCGGCGTCTCCACGCCGGCTAGCCACAGCCGTGTCCGGCCTCCGCCACGCTTTCTTGACTGCCGGTGGGCCGCTGAGCGTCGCGGCTAACGTCTCTGCCCCGGGCTGTTGCGTAGCCAGGAAAAAACGATCCGCTTCCTCAGCCAAAGCACGGGGCTCCGTGACAGGCGTGTTGGCCAGCGCCGTCTGTACCCGGGGAGGCAAGTGACGCAGGAAAATCTCCGTGAATAAAATACGGGGATCTTCCTCCCCTAGCAGATTTAGCATTTTCTCCATTAGCTGGGATGGCTTGCTGTCTCCTAGGCCTTGAATGTCAAGTATCTGGCGGGCCCTCTCCTTAGCAGATAAGCTAAATGTCTTAAGGAGAAGGGCCTTAATCGCCTCATATTTGCCATGATGTGGGGGGGGGCTGCGATGAATCCCACCAACCTGGACGACGTGGAGCTCCCCAGCGCTGCTACCACATGGTAGTATTTTAGGTCCCCGTCACGGACCTGTCGGCAGGCGAAATGTGCCTCCACGTGTGCGAACCATGCCTCCGCGGTGTGCTCCCAGAATTCCGGCAGCTTTATGAAAACATCGCGCTCAGCCATGTTCGTTAATTTTCCGGAAACTTTCTCGGAAAAGTCAGGGTCACCAGTGTAGTGCCGTGAAAAGAGAGTCGGAGGCGGTGTATTAAGAATGGAGTTCCAATCTTTATTATCCATTACTTTCAGAGAGGTTAACACATGCACTGCTCTGCCTGATGAGCTAGCAGGAATGGCAGCTAAAGCTACAGGTGTTCCCCACTAAAGGGTCCGTGTGGCAACACAATAAGCAAGGTGAATTATGTCCAATAACGTGTCACCACAACACACCATATAACGGGCCTGGACTTAATCACAGAACTACATTTACACTTGTTTTACAATCCTGTCTCATTGGATAAACATTACATTTGTAAAATATAATCATACTGTAGCTATTTGTTTAGGAATTGAACCTTAAAGGTGGGGTAGGAGAAACCGGCTCGAGAAACACTTATTGTTACATTCCATGGAATGCTCTTAACATCCCGATAGCAATGAATATCTTGAGTGCTTTGACAAAAAATCCATACAAACATGTCATCTGTGGAAGCCGTCTGTGCACAAACTTATCTCGTGCCCTCATTGGTCATGTGCGCGTTCGTGTGTGTTGGAGGAGGGGCTCTGTAAGGAAGTGGCAGATTTTTTTCCGGCTGTGTATTTTCCTTTATATATACAGTCTATGGTATTTTCACATTTTAGCGCACTCGAGCTGGTTTCTCCAAAATTACCTACCCCACCTTTAAGTGCAGGACTTTCATTTAGCAAATACAAAATGTTCTTCCCATGTTTGTAGTTATAAAATCAGTACAAAACAGATATTGAAGGGTTGACTCTTGCTGCCTAGATGTTTGATAAATAATCATCAGTAATGTGGATTTAATTAATTTTAATGCTATGTCAGGTACAACAGTTCAGAAAGTGAGACAACTTTACTGTTATGCACCCTTTAGAACCAAGAAAAAAAACGTGTGGAAGATATTTGGTTTATGTCCCATGAGCACTTTGCATATATTCAATGATTGTTAACACCTCTGGCTTCTGACTAACTTCAGGTTACGAATGTGTGTATAGTGGTTATTTTTTTATTTGCAAATAAAGGGTAATAATGACTCCCCACACGATGATGGATTACAACAAGATTGCATTTTAATATAATTGACTGAATACAAAACCCATCAACAGTATGACATAAAAACAAGAATACATTTTCAAATGAATAAAGCTGCAAAATAACACAGAAACCACATGACCAGTCTGTTAAAACTCAACAGCAAGTGTGAGACTGAGATAACAGTAAAAATAGAGAACATAGAATATTTCAAAAGCAGCCTTCATAGTTCAAATCATGCGATTACACACGTTGTGCCTCACTATCATAAACACTTAGAGAGGAAAGAGAGTCCTGTTCTCTAAAATACACTTTCATAGCAGCATCATTACTGGATATAATATTGTTTTTAAGTACGGACATTTTACAGGTTATGTAATGTTGATACAATATATACAAGAATACATAATCACCTTACACCTGACTGTGAAAACCTTAATACTAAACTGATACAGTGGCCAACAAGAATCCGTGGAAAAGTCCCAACCACATCAACAAATACATCAAACCACAAGCTCCAGGTAACACAGCCAGAGACTCAGATGCTCAAAGCAGGAAAGAAAACAGTTTTCTGTACACGAGAAGTGACTGATCTGTCTACACAGGAGTTAAACTGTGGGATAAAACATTTTCAGGAATGTACGCTACACTCTGACTAATACTGTCTGATGCACGGCGCTGGTTTTCTGAGGAGGATGAGGAGCCTCCAGCTGTTTCTCTCAATGGGACGCACTTTACCTTTACACCTCGCAGGACTGTTTGCTAAGGACATCAGGCCGCCTGTGTGCACCTGTAACACCGACGAGTCTGCGGAGGGGGTTACCAGGACAGTGAAAAGTCTCCTTCACTTCGGCTGGCTGAGGGGTTATTGTGGGATGTGCTGGGCAGGCAGCCTCCACTGGTCCACGGGTCGAAGGCGTTCAGCCCCGCTCTCATTCGGGCTGCGGACTGGAGTTCCAGGAGAAAAAGTTTGGCAGCTTGAAGAGGGAATCCCTGCGACCCGGGTCCGGCAGGGTCAGGGTCTCCGGAGCAGACTTCTTCCTGGGACGCTCCTTTGGAACCGACAGGAACTCTGGGGCTTCTGTGGAGAAGGGGGTGGACGGGGCGCTGCTGGGGCCGCTGCGAGCGACAGAGGGCAGGGGGGTCTCTGAGATGGAGATGGCGGGAGGGAAGGAGCCGATCTTCAGGTTGGTGGCTTCTTGTGTGGCACGCTCATACTCTCTGACCTCCTCCATGGTCATTTCTGTGGAGAAATCACACGCTTAGAAACAAGAATACATTTCATGATTTAAATCTACGGAAGAGAGTGAATCCTTCTAAAAAATGTAAATGGATGAAGATCATTGTCTCAATTGTGACCCTGTATGATTGTGCATAGAAGAGAGTGAATTGTTTCATAATTTATTTTGAGCCAAATAAGATTAGACAGTCAGTATGTCAATGCTTATTTCCATTTATGTGAAAGACTTAATAACTCAGATAAGGCAGTCAATAAACATTGATTACGTCCTTTATTTTAGTATTCCTTATCTCCTTAAAACACGATGGAATTTGAATCACGCAGATTCGTCTAAAGAGACATATTAACTTATCTTTTACTTATTAGTTTAGTGTTTTATGCCAATTCACTCTCCATAGAATCCTTGCCTATATACTAATTTGTCTGTTATTTACAAAAGGTCCTTGCCACATAATCACACTGCCATCTTGAGGTGAGTCACACAAACTAACCCATTTGTCATGAGCACAAACAAACTTACCAATCCACTCATCCACCCAGGCAAAGGCCTGCCTGTGTCCTAAAAGCAGGACATCTCGAATCACCTGAGCAGCATTAGAAAAAAGAGAAGACGAGGAATCAAAAGAGGAGCAAAATCATACAGGAAGTAAAGTAAAGAGGGACAGAAGACGGGGGCGGGAGATCAAGGAGAGAGGTGGTGAATAAGAATGATTCAACTCTGAAGGCCGTTTTAAAACCCATTAAAGTTCTAAATCCTTCCGTACAACCCTGGAGGAATGGGATTAATATGAGTCACTCTCGCTTTACTATGTTAGTAATGGCCCTGCCTGTGTGTGCGTGTGTGTGTGTGTGTGTGTGTGTGTGTGTGTGCGTGTGTGTGCGTGCCTCGGGCAAGGAGAACACAGAGACAGTTCACCCCAGATACAGATGCTGTGGAGGGCTATAGGTGAAATGGATTTTGGATATAGGAGATATGAGGTTTAAAACTGTGCAGCCGGTGTAAAGGGAGATGATGAAATGATTCTGTAAGATGTGAAAAGGGCAGATATAACACTGATTTGGTTCATAGTTGTGTGTCAAATGTTTTCAGAGCAGCACATTAAATGCCTAAGGCACTAACATGGATATAGGAGCAATGGGCAATGGGAAATGTATTTATGAGAATGTATCCAGACCTTGTGTACATACTGCTCCACACGTGTTTGCAGGCCCCAGACTTCAAATTTGACCGTGATCAGTTTGTAGGAGCACATGATGGGCTCTTGGCTGTCGATCCATCCTTCCTGTAGGACGCCTCGGTTAGTCTTCTTTGACTTAAAATACCGCAGGTCCTGCAAGACCATTAGACACCAGTTACAACTTATTCCTCAGGAAAAAGTAAATCCTATGTTAAAATTTGAGACCTTAAAAGGAAAGAACAAAAATCCTCTTAAAGGATTGGCTTCCTCCTGTTTTTAAACCCATACCTCTGTGAAATATTATTTTCCATCATCTCTCTCTCACACACACAAACACACACTCTCTCTTAACTCCTCCTTGCCTACAGCACAGGATCACCTTCATTCATTACGGCCCTAAAGCAGAGTACAGCTGCATGCTGGGACTCCCTAATCACAAACTTAAGAGTGCATTAATCCCTGCTCCCTATAGAATAACACTGCTGTAGTGCTCATGTCATATATATGTATGTAATGTAATGTCAGTAAAGGATTCAGCATCCTCAATAACCCCCAAAACCAGTCCAAAATTGTCCAAATCTGCCAATAAATGTTTAAACAATTATCCACATAATGCCATTAATGCTAATTAACGCAACTTATGTGCAAATGCCCAACATATGCAAGTTAGCATCCGGCAGTTTCTATGTGCTAGAGATCCCTACTATCCATTTCTAACACAACACTTTGGGGTACTCAACATTTCCGGTTTACTATGCTGGGAACTAGACTAAACAGTAAAGTAGAGCTTGTTTCTTTTACATTTTTATTTTCTTTAAGATAATGAGAACTTTCTTCTTTTTTAAATAAAAATACCATGTCAGGGAATGTATTAATTGCATAGCTTCCAGATGTGTTAAGTCATTTTCTCTAAGTGATATTTTACTATGATAGAGCATTTTAAAAATGTCACATACTAACCATAACAAAAATCTTAATATAACCTGTATATGTATGTGAATTTATAACAAAGCACCATGTTTCTTGTTCTTCTCAGTCAATACATGTCTTTATACAAGTGTACCTTTATCTTTTATTTAAATAAGAAAACGTGATGGTGATATATGTGTCTAGCATATAAGGCCCACGTGCTGTAGGTGCATTAAAGCTTTGAAGGTGACTTCCATTAATAAGACCAGTCTCTGTGATGCATTGTGGGGTGTGACTCTTGTTTATCCAAAACCCATCTTTCTTGGAAATCAAATGCTATTTACATCAGCCATGTGACATCCACGTTTACCTCAGGACCGCATCTTGGTGCTATTTTTAGCTCTTGAGTGGATAAAAGCAGGAGATCATAAAGCCTGTCAGGAGGTGTGTATATGTGTGTGTTTGTGAGTGTGTGTGTGTAGAGGTGTCAATAATGAAACACCACTGCAGTGACATCATGACCCCTCCTGACTATTAATAGCTCAGCTCTTTACGACCATCACACATGACACACACACACACACACATGTCAAATCACCCCAGCTAATGTCCATCACTTCCCCCTCACATAAACGTGTGTTTCCATCACTCTGAGGAGGCAGAAGACCAGCTGGTCGTCGAATACGAGCGTGCTAAAGAAAGATAACACTGTTCCTGTTTGTCTGCATACACGCCTTTCCTTCTCCTCATTTCTCTTTTGTTGACTTCTCTGCCCCCCTGCTGTGCTTCTGTCTGTCTCCATACTCTCTTCTTTCCGTTGTTCATTACTCTATCTCTACCATGAGTGTGTGCTTTAATTCACTCTGTTCCCCTTAACACTCAAAAATAAACATGTGTATCCTGAGTTCAGTGGCTTGACTCCCCTCACCTCGGAGTCCTTGTAGTGGCGCTCGGGGATCTCATCATAGGCGATGTCCACGGTACACACCTCTGTTTCCTCTTCTTTGGGCTCGCTGCTAAAGATCTGAGGAACAGGGAGGAGTTCAAAGATGAATAAAATGTTGTGGGATGTTGCAAGGCTATTTTTCTTCTTATTTGTTATGGCTGTGATCGGACAGCATCACACACTTTCACAGTAAAGCAGGAGTTGAATTAGGTTTGGAAGTTTCAAAACACATTATTCTGTTGGTCTCAAACCATATGATAGCCGTCCTTCTGCCTTTACCCTCCGACAATACAAACTGTGAGGACTTATATGAGTCACTACGTGTGATCAGTAATTTGTGTCACACAGGAACAGCACAGCAATGTCAGCCAGGTATCCGCTCTCTTCACAATCATTTTACGGCTCCTGCGTCACAGTTTATCCTGCTTTGAACAATCTTTTATACAGGTGTAGCGGAAGGGAGAAAGGGCAGTGCGAGGGATGAAAAGGTTATTGAAAGGGAAGAGAATGGAGGATGAGATGTACAAATGGTGAAGGCGGTGGAGGGAAGTGTAACATTGAGAGCGGAAGGAGCGAACACTTGTATTTAACTCTTCTGCCCTCACTTCTAAAACACCCCCACTTGTTACGATCAGCTTCAAATGTGAAATAATGACCTGATGTTCTGTGAACGCGTCTGACTGGGTTTGCAGCTCCCACTAGCCACCACTAGGTGGAGCTGCGGCCTTTTGTTTTCAGCTGCAGAGTGGATCATGGCAGGATTGCGTAACCTTGCACCTTACTGCCAGGAAAGTGTTAAGTGGCTCTGAGGAAGAGATGGATATCAAGAACAGTACTTCTACATTGATGTAATACTCTATGCTTTTATCACTTTAGTCATTTGACATATTGATATGTGTTTGTGCTGTACGTATGTTTTGGAAATAATGTTTTCAAGCCAATAACATCCATTACATTGCACTAAACTGATCAAATGGAACTGATTGAAGGGCAGGTGGTTGATGATGTCTTTACGTTTTAGCTTTTTATTTTGTGCTTGTACTGCCATAACTTCATCATTTTGTTATTTAGTCACACAACTGTTTATGGAAACGACATTGTAAGATATATCCTGCTTGTGAGTGAAAAGTGTTTCTGGTGTGACAGAGCAACGGAATAAACAAATATGGTAAAATAAAAAATATATACCACAGGAAACCCCTGTACAGGAGTGAGAGCATAGCAGAATGGGTGCTGATCCACTCTGAATTGTGGGCAAAGTCTCAAAATTAAAGATGGCACAATGACGCAGTAGAATTTAACATTTCGGATTTAGAGGCTTTGAAGCAGAAGGATTGGTGACAATATGGGAAGGAAAAAAAGGCAATGAAATAGACAGTTGTGCAATCGGGGACTGTTAGATGTACAAGAAAGGAGATTCAGCAAAAAACTTCAAATACATCTGTTGAAAAGCCAAGCTAAGACCTCTTTTACTTTGTCCACCACATGACACTCTGAGCTCTACTCACATTATCATTGCTCCCCTTGTTGTCCTCGTATTTGGATTCTATGTGGATGGAAAACTTGGGCAGGAAGGAGCACTGGAGTGGATAGAAAATACACACCAAAGAGAAATTGATTTGAACAGTGATCACCTTGTGAGATGATAATTACATGGCTTAGGGGTTTGGATCACCACACACAAGTACAACATGTGATTTTTTTGTTGACGGACTCACAAAAAGAGATGTGAGACTAATTGTGTCTCACAGATCTTTATTGCCCAAACAAGATGAGTAATTATGATCTTTAAGCTTACTGAGTAGATTTATTGCACCATATTGACTGCTCTTCATTCACTCCTAAACACGGCATCTTGATGAGATTAAGGCCCCGGCCACACGAGGACGATAACGGTAAAACGCAAGCGCAATAGCAAAAATGGCTTCCGTTCACTCCACACGCAATAGACACCGGAAAGTTTCTGTCCACACGAGACAGCTCCGTTTAGCTCCAACCGCTGGAGAAGCTGCAGTAGGCTACATATGCCGAGCCTGTACGTGGCGCTGTAACTTCCTCCACAAAAGCAGCGAAGAAGCATGGTTGTCATGATTGCCCTTCTGTTTATTCTCCGCGGTGGGGACCGAGGGAAGCGGGCAGAGTTTTTCGCCAGTCAACGTGTATTAAAGTTTAAATCTTCCGGACAAAATTATAAAAGTGCCGGTCAAAGGTTTTCCTTGTTATTTATTGAGCTTTAAAACAAATGAATAACGAATATATATAATATAATAATAAAATACATGGAGCCTCTCTTTTTCCTCCCTCTCTTCTGACAGTAGGCTTGTTTGAGACGCGTTGCGGCTCGCCTCGAAAGTAGACGAGAATAGCCCATCGCAGCCGGGGGAGGTCTCAAAAAGCTCGCCTGAAGTCGGACAGACCGGGTTGCATTCCAATAGTCCATTTAGCTTAGGAACCTTCCTAACGGAGTGAAATGACCCGGAAGTCCCTCACTGGCAGCCATGATAAGTGCCGTTCCAATTCTCCAAATGAAAGGAAAGGAGGTTTCAAACTTCCTTTATAACCTCCTTTAGCTTAGGAACCACTGGACCTCCCTAACCGAAAGGAGAGGAGAAAATGCTGCCCCACAATGCATTGCAGCCGCAGCATTTGCCGTCACTCAACAGTCGGCCGTTCACAGAAACAACCGATTATGACCGAGAAATGATATCATGAAAGTTACGGTGCTTATTAAGAATTTTAAAACGTATGTGGTAAGTTGCCAAAGTGCTTTTTTCTGAACGTTCATCAGTATTATAATCAAAAAGAGAAATATGAACGTTAGTTTTTACTGAAATGATCAAATAAAGTCAACATTTCACAGTCTTTACTGAGCTGTGTGGGGTTTGTTCAACTTTTAAAAGATGTTTGAATGGTGATATACACAGTGATAGATGTTAAGGACTAACAATTATAATACATACATTTGTATTGATTTTAAGATATTTTCATAGTTCATACAATCATACGTATTGGGATCATTTGTATTAATGTGGACCGGAGGGAGAGGGTGACGAGCATAAGTTTCACTTTCCTTTTTTATTTCAATTCCAACTTTGGTCATGAAGAATATGTTTCTCTGTTGTCCACGTTCATAAAGCATAAAGCAACAGCATCAGAGCACGGTGCAGAGTCTCTAGATGAGTTTACAGTAGTCCCTCGTTCTTATTAAACATCCATGTTGTAGTCCGCTGTATAGAAAACTGTAGTTTCCATAGTTCCCCACAGCAGCAGACGCACATTCATGACGTCCGCTGGCGCATCATAAACACGTCGGATAGTGAAAGTGCATTCGGATTCTCTAAAGTACCGCAGTCTCTTCTCCTAAATCCTTTTGAATTCTCCTATCCACTATCCCTTAACCCCGTAACGTTTCACTCAGAGGTCAAGGAATAGGAGATAGGATAAGAATTTAGGAGCTGATTTTTGGATTATCGGAACGCAACCCCGGAGTCGGCTTCGTCTTCTTCTTCTTCTTCTCTCGGTTATTTGGCAAACAACTTTAAGGTGCATACCGCCACCTCCGGAGTCGGCTTGACTCGGTTTGCATTTATAAAGAATGCACGCATGTGTTTAATCGTTAATGTCAGATATGTAGGCTACTACTAAGTAAATACATTTGTTCCTGCTCAAGATTAGATTCAACTTTATTGTTATTGCACATATTACAGGTACTGAGACAACGAAATACAGTTTAGCTTCTAACCAGAAGTGCAACAAGCAGTGAAGTGAAAAGTAATGTACACAATCTACAGAATAAAATATAGAATGAATTGAATGATGAATAAACAGTGAGGGGTATGAATACACTAGATATACACAGCAGCCTGTGAGCAGTATGAACAGTGTGTATGAATATGCTAAGATATATAAAGTATGAAAACGGTAAGCAGTGCAAGTATAGTATAAAATATATAGATATTAATTTCATGATGATAAATATTGTGGAACCATGATGAAAAACGTGAATGGAAATGGCGACGTAAAACTGACACAAAACAACAACAAACTTTTGCCCAGCCAATTGGAGAGTTTCATCTCCAGCACGTGGTAAAAACCACCAATGAGCGCTCAGCTCGAGATACCAGCGAGTCGTTTCCCATCAAGCATTTCGCTTCCGCAGCTCGTGGAGAGGAACTGCGCCGCCTCGCAGCGCCTCGCTCTCAAGGCTGCGGGCGTCTTTGTCCCGCGAGATTTCAACGTCTCATGTAGGCGGGCCTCCAGAGCAAGTCGGACAAAGTGACTAACCATCATGCAACGCACTAGCAAGACGTTGATCGCAACTGCGCAGGTCTGCGCAGGTCTGCGCAGGTCTCGCTTGTCTCAAACAAGCCTAGTGTCAGTCTCATGCAGCAGCTGATCCAGTAATGAGTGACCCGGCCGACAGTAAAAATAAACATATTTATAACTAGTTTAGGTAGTTTGAGAGGTAATTAAAATAGCTAAGGGTGATGATCTGACTTGAAGTGTGTGTTTTGCTCCGTTCACCGCTGCATCACAGAGCTGAGCAGAGCTGCGTGTCTCCGTCCTGTCAGATTAGACTTCACTCGCGTTTAGGTCCATATCGAGAGAAAGATAAATAATCTGAATTTAGTGTGCAGTTTACTTTGACGCGGGGGTGAGCAGTAGAGGTGGGGCTATTGCCTCATCATCATTATCAGAAAATGATCGTAGGCTATAGGGCAGGGGTGCCCACACTTTTTTGGCTGGTGAGCTACTTTTGAAATGACCAGCTCACCGAGGTCTACCAACCAAAAATAAAATCCCAAATTGCAAGGGTTGCTGAATAACACGTTTTATTTATACATGGGATAACTACAATAGGGCTGCAACAAACGACTAATTTGATAATCGATTAATGAAACGATTAATCGACTATTACTGTATGCCTTGCACAATTTCTCAAACACTCTTATTTAGCCATCAACTTTTAGATTTAGCTTGAGGTTGTTTTAGGCATGTGGAAACTAACAATGAGGACAATAAAGATGAATACTTGATTCAAAAATACATATATTATTAAATTAACTTAACAAAATTAACATTGCTTTTTATTTAAATTAAATAATATTTCACATCAAAAGAAACAACAGTGTTTTAACAAATCGTATTAAATAATCTGATGACAGAACTGTGAACAGAATAGCTGAAACTTTAACAAAATAAAGAGTAACTCTGTTCCTCTAATCATTAACCCATGTTTGTATAATGGTGTTAACTCCGTGTGTTGCTGCTAGCATACATAACACCTGACGTGGAAACGTTACTCGTGGATGGGGCTACAGAGCTACTAGAAAGACAGTCGAACCCGGTGCATTTCTCCGTCTGAATGTGGAGCACTTTTGCTAAATGTTTAGACACATTGCTCGTGTTACCGCCCTTACATGCTAAACACTCTTGGCAACGAGCATTGTCCACCTCCTCAAGACGGGTAACATTTAACCACACTTTGGAGCGCTTCTCTCCGCCATCTCCTCCGTGTGTTGCTGCTTGTAGCAGCTGCGTGTGTGTAAACTGCCCCGCCCCCTCGCACACAGACGGGGAGAGAGAGATCTCGTCTGGATTGGAAAGGTCGAAAATACACCGACCATAGACGCATTTGTTTGTCTTTTTGCATGTTAGAAACGAGTTGCCGACACTAAGACTGCGAGATAATGTTTGTGTAGCAATAATACATGACCTTTCTCTTTCTCAACTCGCTACTCGGAGGGAAGTCGCTGTCATATGCCTTGTGAACACTCCGATAATGCCTCCACGTTACCTTTCTTTGGCAGAGCGAGGCTTGCTTTACAAATAAGGCAAATAACCTTTGAATGTGACATCACAACAAAATATTATTCCTCCTATTCTGGGTGGAAGTGGTATGTCTTTAGCTTTTTGCTCGGTCCCGCACTCATTTTGTTGTTTGTCTCTTTGTCTCTTTCTCTTTTTGAGTTTTCCCGGCACTTCACTGATTTTGTATCGCTTTGCATTCTGGGTTAACAGATTGGAAAGCGATAGGTCGCTTTTTCTGTCAATCAAGTAAACTCCTGAATTAAGTGGCAGGGAGGCCAAGGAGGAGGGATCTAAACCAGTTTTGTCTATTTTAACGGAGCTGGATTTTTTTTTTTTTTATATGAATGACTCGCGATCTACCAGCATTGCCCCCGCGGTCGACGTACTCGGGCACTTCTGCTATAGGGCGTATACACACGGAGCCGTTGGACCCCCCCGAGCGTTGCGTATGCCGTTCTATCCACCTTGGGACCCGTTACCGTAGTCGTTTAGTGCCATATTCTGTCGTTCTAATGTGGCCGAATGGCCTATAATATGACACAAAACGGTAACGGAAACGACCGTTATCGTCCTCGTGTGGCCGGGGCCTAAAGCTCGACACTTCCAATTATTATACAACCAAAGAATGGTGGGATAGCCTACTGTTTAAAAAGGCTGATGGTGTACAAGCTTGTGTGTGTATGTGTATGTGTATGTATGTATGTAGGCTATGTGTGTGTGTGTGTGTGTGTGTGTGTGTGTGTGTGTGTGTGTGTGTGTGTGTGTGGGGACCCTGCAGGGACAAAGTACAGCAGGAGGGGATTGAGGAGAGATGAGCTATAGGGCCGGGATACTTGAAGCTCATGGTGAACTGTGTGTGTGTGTGTGTGTGTGAATGTGGTGTGTGTGTGGTGTGTGTGGTGTGTGTGTGTGTGTGTGTGTGTGTGTGTGTGTGTGTGTGTGACTGCAGGACAAAGACAGCAGGAGGGATTGAGGAGAGAATGAGCTATAGGGCCGGATACTTGAAGCTCATGGTGAAAACATGTGTGTCGTGTGTGTGTGTCGTGTGCTAGTGTGTGGTTGTGTGTGTGTGTGTGTGTTGTGTGTGTGTGTGTGTGTGTTGTGTGTGTGTTGTGTGTGTGTGTGTGTGTGTGTGTGTGTGTGTGTGTGGTGTGTGTGTGTGATGTGTGTGGTTGTGTGTGTGTGGGTGTGTGTGGTGTGTGTGTGTTGTGTGAAGGTCACGCAGAGAAAGGGGGAAGGGCATGTTTCTCACTGTAATTATAGTGCACAGTTGCAGTATTCCTACTGGCCTTGTGACTCTTATCAGGGGAGACGAGGAAAACAAGAAAGGTGTGTCGTGGGTATTGTGTGTGTGTTTGTTTTATGAAAGAGACTGTCATTCAAGAGAAGACAATGTCATACACAGAAGAATGACTCTGCTTTTATTTTACATAATTGTTAAGTCATTGTTTTAATTGTGTACAGTATCAACCTCACAAAGCAGTATGCAGGTTTTTATGGACGGGCCCAGCCACTATCACACACTTCACACAGTGATCGTGCACATTGCTTAATGCCCTCAATGTGTGGCCCCCAATGTGAAGGTAAATGCTAACATGGGCATTCATATAGCTATACAGAACACAAATTACAGGCGGGAAAACTAATGGTCATTGTTTTGAGGTGATTGATCATATATCATAATGTTTGACCTGATGATGATGCTGGTTGATGGTATTCCCTAATGTTCAAAATGACATGGAATCATCGGATAGTTATTAAGATATTTCATTAAGAGCCACACATGTATCTGTTGGTGGCAGGTAGACAGGAAAGTGTGGCATAGCTTTGCGACATGACTCCCTATTCTGATTCATAAAGTCATGGTCATTGCCACTACCAATCATAAACCTCATCTTTTGCATCATCACCCCCACCTTGGGCTAACTCATCAACAAAACATTTCATTTAATTATCATTTAGGCCATTTGGCAGCATGACAACACAGCACCTTCAACACAGGGTATAACTGTTATAAGTGGACATCTGGTTTGTAGAGGCTCTTATATCTAAATCCACACAATGATTGCTGAGTTGAGAATATTGTGAGCAGCTTGTACACCTATAGCATATTTTCAGGAAAAGGGATGCTGAAGTAACATGTCATGTTCTTAAGGTTGTAACGTTAGAAGAAGTTATCTGTTCACTTTCAAATCATGAACATCCTCAAACATCCAAATGTTAAATGTATCTGTACAGCGTCAGAGGAGAAGAGTTGTGTTTCATTGATGTCTTCCTGCTGCCCACAGACACAAGGTGGGCAGGCTAATGTCCCAGAGCAATCATTAATGCTTTTTTCTCAGCAAAAGTCAATTAACCGGGTATATCTTTGAGAGCTTTGGGTTTTTAACACTGTTTTTTAAAGAAGAATTAGCTTGATGTATCGATATTGAACGGCGATCAATGACAATCAATGTGAGCCTATAGGTCTTACAAGTCGATTTCACATTTCAACCTTATTTACCACGGCATCTATTGCACGTCTGTCCGTCCTGGGAGAGGGATCCCTCCTCTGTTGCTCTCCCTGAGGTTTCTCCCATTTTTCCCTTTAAACTGTGGGTTTTCTTCGGAAGTTTTTTCCTTGTACGATGTGAGGGTCTAAGGACAGAGGGTGTCGTATTGTCATATGATATTTTGTACAACTGTCAAAGTCCACTGAGACAAATGTAACATTTGTGATATTGGGCTATATAAATAAACATTGATTGATCTATGGAGCCTAAAAGTAGTATGTTAAAAAGTTCAGATACAGCTGGGATGAGTTGTTGTCCCAGGGTGTAATTGTTTACCCTTTACGGACATGGAGAGGAGCTTTCTAGAAGAACTGCTGCTCCTTGTATAAAACAAGAGTCAGTTCATTAGGATTCTGATCAGGATTCACCCTGGACTCCTCCTTGTTATTTCAGATAAATCCAACAGGGAGGTGACCCCAGGGTACACACACAACCCACAGGAGGTATTATCACTTAAACATGGGAACACATCAAGATTCAGTGGAAAATAAATAAATAGGCAATGCTGATTTACACCTGTGCCTTGGGTACCCTTTATTATTGCAGAAAAAGTGGTTAAGAAATAAATACATCAATAAATACAATGTTTGGATTTAATTGAGTTTCCAGATCACAGTTTTCCCTGATGTGAAATTTCAAGGGTTTAAAATATGGGTGTTTGCAGTTGAATGTCAAAGAATGAGATGTTTCCAAGAAGGGAAAATAATTTTAAATAAGAAACTTGCTCGTATAATATTGTTACATATTACATACTTGTGTGTTGCTGCATACAGTGTGACAGATACTGAGAGTAATTTGTTTAAATTCAAACGAGACTATTCACAAACATTTGTGATCCCGAGCCAGCATCATTCAAGAAGTGTAGCTACTCCCCCCTTCATCTCCACCACAAGATGTACATTTGGATCTAAGTGTTTTTTGTGTAAGTGTGATTTTTTCATGTGTGTGGGTGCAGACACATTGAAAGTACTTACCGTGTACTCTGATCGTATTTCCCATCAGAGGCCATCAGTGTAATGGACAGAAATGGGAGTTGGGTGAGAGGGGCAGGCGGGAAGAGTACCAAGAAATGAAACCATATGAGAGAGATAAGAAAGAAAAACTATTTAGTTCAAAATGAAAAAAGGACAATTGAGCCAAAGCAATAGCACAGTCTCAGTGATAGCACATAAGAGGAAAGCATGTTGTTATGACATAGTGTGTTATTTATTTCAAAGATGTGTCACATGGACTACTTATACATACATGTGGAGCTGCAGGGCTCCCAAGTTTATTGAAAGTTCAACATACACACTAGGAAATGTGATATCTGCAGACCGATGGTTGGGTTTATTACATCTTAGTATTTCTTTGTGGCTTTTAAAGCCACTGCGCTCCTTCTAAAAGCTTTTTAAAGGTGGTTGAAGACAGTCATGACCACAATTTAAATAAAACAATTTATTCAGGATGGTTTAATGAACAGCTCTATGGCACATTCAAAAATACTGACTGCATTTTTGTTTTGAAGCTTGTCAGTGAACCTTAAAACCTGAAGGATAATGCATCCTGGAATTGCCAGCCAATAAAAAGCACATCACTTAAAATGTCAGAAGTATTCAATATGCAAAAAAAAATCTAAAAAATGTGTCCCTTTTAAATTGCAGCTAAAGAAAGAGTGATTGCAAATTATTAAGAAAAATGTCAAAACATCAAAAGCTTGATATCTTCTTAAATCCCCCCCTTTTTCACATTTGACCATCAGATTTTACATCCAGAGGCTGTGTGTGTAGCAATGCATCTTCCTGTGATCAAGACCTTACATGTTGATCTTTAGGTAACCTGCCTGTCCTCTCCCCATCACTTTTTCCAGTGCTCGTGACCTTTGTCTTTATTACCCCCCCTCCTTTCTTCCCTTATAGATTGTGTAAGACAGAGTATTGCTTCCAAATCCCTTTGCCCTCTCAATGACCCCATATATTGGCTGCTATAAGGTGAGCTGACCCACGTTTGTAGAGTACTATAGGGAGTAGTATGCATCTATATGTGGTTCAGCATAAATCCATGATTTTACAATATAAAACAGAATTGTCAGAAAGAAGTTGCTTAGTTTGTTAAACCAATGTTTACACGTGTCCTTTAGGGTTAATATGGCGTGACGAAATGTGTATCTAAACACATGCTTTTTCGTGAATGTTTCTACTTTTTAATTGTAAATTATAGATAAAACACAAGGATGTATTATTAAAGTATTACCTGTGATGGTGTAAGGGTAATAGTTCCACGCCTTCCTCTGTGACATAGAAGATTTTAGGGACAACCGCTCTGGCCCAACTGGGCAGCTTGCTGAAAACACAGAGAAAGAACATTGCATTGATTTTAAACTAAAGAAACAATGAAAAGG